GATTAAAGTTTACTCTGAACTTAAAATTTTTTTTACGCTTTAACATTTCAATACGAATTAAAAAGTCTAACATTTATAATAATGAAGCGTTTCATGAAAAATATGATGGAATGATTTTCGACAAAAACACAGCTTTATCAAATTTTGACGAGTATCAATGAGTAGAAATTTGGCAAGTTAAGACTATATTTAAATTTATGTGCATAAGTACCACTTCAAGTTGCAACAAAGAGAAAAAAAATCATATTGTTCAACAATAAACTTGAAAAAAGTGCTTTTGCGGTGTATATATTACGTTCGCGTTATTCGACTCGATTATTTTACATTTATAGACGTTCTTATTTTCTAGAAATTTATTGATTGATTTATTTATTTTTATTGCACAATATGTTTAACGCTGTATTTTCAGTAATTGCACCTGCATCAGTTTATGTATATATATATTTTTTTTTTTTTTTTTGGCAGAAACTGCAAATACACGTCAAAGAGTCCGCGAAAATTGCACGTAGGCCGGCTTTTCATTCTTTTACCGCAGGAAGGAAAGAAATGGCAATTTACATTAAAAAAGAAATTCGTACATAAATCGAAAGATTATCATACGATTCAGGTTAAACTAAAGCTTTAAGCTAAGAACTATTATTTTTTGTAAATTAAGTTGAAGTATATGTTAAAGATTTTTCGTTATCAATAGATTAGGAAGACTTTTGTAATATTTGCTGTTTATATACACATTATTATTGTGTAGATTTTTATGCTAACGAAGGTAATATTATGCGTTTAAAATTTATAAAAGTTAAGTCAAGGTGAGCAGTGACGAGCAAAACGTACATTAAATTAGCAATTGACAGCAGTATATATATATATATATATATATATATATATTATCTTGTCTGTGTTAATGATAACGCAAAATAAAAATGAGTTTATTTTAAATTTTTTATAATTGAAAGAAAAATGTAGCTTTCCACGTATTTCAGCCGTTATTTGATTGCTTTCGTCATGGACATTATGACGTGTGTGATAACAGTACATTCGCTTTTTCAAATTAGAGAAATTTAAAACCACTTGTAAAATTGATTTCTTAAGGAAAAAATGATACAAGGAGTGTACTTTGGTTTTGAATATTAAATAATCTCGTAGCTCGTTTCTGCTCGGGGACTAAACGTTTGGAACAATAATGAAATCTAACTAATATACATAATATATTGGATAAAACACGCGCGAAATTAAAGTTATTTACGCAATATATAATCTACATAAAGTACATTTTATTCAATTAACAACAAGAAATATAGGAAATTCAAAGTGATCAGTGATCCGTTGGGGGCGAAATGTGAGAAAATAAATAAATACAAGTAAAGTGTATTTAAATTTTCTTGCGTTGATTTATTAATGCACAACGTTTCGCTGACAATATGCATCAACCAAACTTACGAATTCTCGCGTATCTGCGCCTGATGAGGCTGACGCATATTGTCAGCGAAACGTTGTGCATTAATAAATCAACGCAAGAAAATTTAAATATACTTTACTTGTATTTATTTATTTTCTCACATTTCGCCCCCAACGGATCACTGATCACTTTGAATTTCCAAA